TTTTTTTTTTTTTTTTTTTTTTTTTTTTTTTTTTTTTTTACCGGAAACATCCCTAAATTATATATTTTCTCTAAAAGAAATTAGGTTTAGTTTGAGATAAAATAATTAAAATCTCATTTTAAAAATATTCATAAAATTTTAAGATCATTAATATATTTTACCTTTATAAATTTTTTAAAAATAGTAAATTTTTCATAAATGTTTTATTGTTATTTTGAAAGTTAATGAGTATTTTTAAAATTTAATTTTTAATTTTTAATTTCTTTTAAAATATAACATATTATTATAAATAAAATTTTAAAATTCACACACTTACCCTATTAAATTAATAATTTGAAGAATTTATGTTCAAAGTAGATAATATCATATTATTATCGAACAACATATTTATAAAAAATATTAAAAATTTGGGTGTGTGAGGGTATTTCTGACCATTTGTAACTGTCATGTTTAGTAACAAAATTCTACTGGATCTTATCCCTGCGCCGTTCCACAGCTTTCATTCTCTCTAGTCATTGTCACACTCAAATTATATCATAATTTTTCTCCAATTTTATTTTTCCTATTTTCTTAATATTTATTTTATTCTACCGATTTTAACTTTTGAGTTAAATTAAAATATAGAAAGAAAGTAAATACGAGCAGTAATTCAGTTTTTACTGCTCTACTCGTTAGTCAGTCCGCTATATTTAAATCACAAAACAAAATAATAAATGGTTATGTCCGATTATTCTATATTTTAAACATTTACAATAATCTTAATGTAAGTAGAGTTGGATTGGATTGTAACCTTATTTTTAAATTGTTTGGGTTAACTCGACTAAAAATATGTAAATTCTCGGTCCCGAGTTGTTTAGCTTTTCAAAAAATATTCTCGTAAATTAAAATTAAAATTCATAGTGGGTATTTAATTTTGTATTGAAAAAGAAAAAAATAAAAACTTATTATAGGCCTATGCCATATAGGGCATTAAAACCGTTGGGCCGATTTTAATTTAATTTTGTATGGGCCCTTAATGAGATCCAAGTTAGCCACAATACACCACCCATGGCCTCTAGGATAAAATATTACATTTTTAATTATTTTTATTTTCAAATTGTAATACCAGTGTAAATATTGTCCGCTTTGGCTCATTATGTATAATCGTCAGCCTAAGAATTTTATTACGTATCAGAGAGGCTTACACATTCTTACAAGTGGGATCTCACTTCTACGCACTCTAAAAATGTTTAAATAAATCTTTTGAACAAATTATTTTTTAATATTATAGTTTCGTTATTTGAGTTCTCGAGTTATATGATTACGTTAGTCGAACTGTGCTTAGGTTAACCATTTAAATATATATAAATAAATAAAATATCATTAAATATATTGAGAAATAAATCCAATGGGCAAAAAGGGTGTGGTTAGAGCACACGGTTTAAAGGCCCATTCCGCTGCTGATTCCCAATTGGCCATTTTTAGGTTCAGACATTAGATTACTGTGTTCACTGACCAGATTTGATCTCTCACAATTCCGTTTATATTATTAAATTCAATAAAATTTAAATTTTAAAATAAAGTATGATGTGTCAGCGGCGCAGACGATTACCCCACCACAAATTCTTAATTTTTATTTATTATTTCCAACTATAAGTCAAGCGGAACCATGCGTTCATTCAAGCGGTACCTCTTGCAGTAAGGTATAGTTCGGAGATGATCTAAATCGAAAGTTGTTAAACACGTGACACTCGAATAAAAGAAGAGTACATAAATGAATCGATGTCACGTTCAAATGAAAGAGATCATGAAAAAAGAATTAAAAGAAATTGAAAGTTACTATCTATTGTTGGATGATGAAAGTCTCACATCGGTTAATTTAAGGAATGATCATGGGTTTATAATCTAAGAATACACTCTTCATTGGAATGAAGCCTTTTAAGAAGCTCAAAGCAAAGCCATGAGAGCTTATGCTCAAAGTGGACAATATCATACCATTATGGAGAGTCGTGTTCGTCTAACATAGTATCATAGCCAATGTTATCAGGTACTTAGGGATAATTATATGAAATTTAGACGTTTTGATTAAAAATTTTACGATAAATTTTTAGATCAAATGGGATTATGATTGCTAATTAAATAATTTAATTAAGAAGCAAAGTTGAAAAGGTAATTAATGTACATAATTAAAACAAAGTAATTAAGTGTATGTATTCTTGATGCATGCCTAATATCATCTTAATCTCTAATTACTTTTCTAATTAAATTAACAACATTTTTTTAAATTTAATTTTCGTTTTTTATTTCCTAATAATAGGATGGAAATTTCAAATTCTGCCAAACAATTTGTCCACCTTTTGACAGCTTTCTTTCATACCTTCTATATATTTTTTTTTATATATATAAAAAAAAAATTAATGTTGACTCCTCCAATTAATTAACAATAATTATTAAAAAAAAAAAAACACTCATTATAATGTCTTCATTTTCTCTTGCATATCCACTAAAATTATTACTTTTGGAAGCTATATATAAATATAAAAAGCAAAGGGTAGTTACGTAATATTCTATGTTTAAGATTCGACACTCGATAATCCTGCTTTAATTTTTATAGGCCAACGTAGGTTCGTTCAAATTGTTTTGTCTTTACTCATAAGTCAACAAGCATAAAAACTATGTTTGAGTCATTTGTAATAGCTCAAGCTCACTGTTGGTAGATATTGTCCGCTTTGACCAGTTACGTATCGTCGTCAGCCTCACGATTTTAAAACACGTCTACTAAGGAGAGATTTCAACACCCTTATAAGGAATGCTTCGTTCTCCTCTCCAACCAATGTAGGATCTCACAATCCACTCCCTTAGGGCCTAGTGTTCTTGTTGGCACACCGCCTAGTGTCTGGTTCTAATATCATTTGTAACAATCCAAGCCCATTAGTAGATATTGTTTGCTTTGTCTCGTTACGTATCGTCTTCGTTCTCCTCTCCAACCAATGTAGGATCTCACAATCCACTCCCTTAGGGCCTAGTGTTCTTGTTGGCACACCGCCTAGTGTCTGGTTCTAATGTCATTTGTAACAATCCAAGCCCATTAGTAGATATTGTTTGCTTTGTCCCGTTACGTATCGTCGTCAGCCTCACGATTTTAAAATGCGTCTACTAGGGAGAGATTTCCACACCCTTATAAGGATTGTTTCGTTCCCCCCTCCAATCAATGTGGGATCTCACAATCCACCCCTTTAGGGACCAACATCCTCGCTGGCACACCGCATGGTGTCTGGCTTTAATATCATTTGTAACATTTCAAGCCCACCGCTAGCAGATATTGTTTGATTTGGCTCGTAACGTATCATCGTCAACCTCACGGTTTTAAAATTTGTCTTCTATGGAGACGTTTCCACACCTCTATAAGGAATGTTTTGTTCCCCTCTCCAACCAATATGGGATCTCACAATCCACTCTCTTAGAGCCAGCATCCTCGTGTACCAAGACGTAACGCACCACGACAAAAATTTAATTTATGTATATAAATGAGTTCGTTGTAAAGTTATTTTTGCATTATTTTTAAGCTAATCTCCTTTGAAATAATTTTAATTGGAGAAGAATCTCCAACTTGATTGGTGGAGGATTTTGAAGATAGTGACTGAAAAAGAATTTTCTACCTTTGACCTAAACTTTTAATTCATTTATAACATAATTAACTTTTTATTCTTAAGAAAACAAAAAGAGCACAAAGGGTTGACTAAAAATGTAACTCTAACTTTGACCAACATTATAAAATGGAAATATGAAAAATTAAATGAAATTAATGCATTTATGATGACCTCTTAAGTCAATAATGTAAATT